TGTTGCTGAATATCCACTCTCAAATCTAAGAACGTCGAAAACTAATATCTACTCTCAAATCTAAGAATGTCGAAAACTAATATCTATTCTCAAATCTAAGAACGAATGTCGAAAACTAGTATCTACTCTCAAATCTAATTAAGAACGTCGAAAACTAATATCTACTCTCAAATCTAAAAGCAACTCGTTGACAACTAGCAACTATAGTATTATCACATCTAATAAGTACACCCATAGTTATTGTATACATTTAGCTTTGTCAAACGAGTATATATCAGACCTAAAGTTATCTTTCATTATGAATATTAACTTAGTTGGCCACACTAGCATATAATTCAAAAGATAAAAAAACAAGTATACTTTAATTTAATCTTGTTAGGAAAATAATAAAATTAATTTTGTAAAAAAAAAAAACAAATCAAATAATTTTAGATTTTTAGGGTTTCCTCACTTTTGTTTAGGCTAATTAATCAATACACAATAGGATTATTGAAAACCGAGTTAAAAAAAAAAATCATGGTACAGCTATAAAAACAAGAAAGACAGAAAAATACCAAAGTCAAAATACCACTTTATATTGAAAAACCGTGACACTTGAACGAACAACCACAAACTACAAACTCCCTTATTTTTTTTCTCTCTCTAAAATCTTCCTTACTTTCTCTCTCTACTACCTTCTTCTTCTTCTTCCTCAACAAACTATGATGATGACGAAAAAAATCTTCCTCCTCTTTACAATCACCATAATCTTCATCCTCCCTTGTTCATATTCTCTCTCCTCAAATTCAAATTCAAACACCCTATTTCTTGAACCCTCTTCAAGACTATCACCATCTTCGCCTCTGCCGCCGTTTCGACATCGTTACTGTCACTCTTTCCCGTCTAAATACCCACCTGCAATATGTAACACTCAGTTCCGGCAATACCTTACGTTCCCTCCTCCTCCTCCACCATCGTCGTCGTCGAATCATGTCTCATCCTCGGAGATTGACCCGCGTTTCGGTGTCGAAAAACGGCTCGTTCCTAGTGGTCCTAACCCTCTTCACAACTGATCATATCCACCAAGTAAAAATGACGTTGTTTTGATCCCTTTTTTTTTATTTTATTTTTTTTTAGGTAATATTTTGTGTTAATTTGAGTTCTTGATTCAATGCGTACGTAGGATTAGGGCGGTATGTCACGTACTTAATTACGTACTGCCAAAGGAAAAAAAAAATTATAATAAAAGTTCGTGATTTTGTTTTATATATAATTTTTTTTATATCATCTTCCTTGTATGCCCTAGCATACATCCGGCCGGGTTCGAGTTTCTTGAACCCGTGTGCGCGTTCGTAGATTAAAACAATATGGTACGGATGGAGTATCGTACGTGATGGTGAACACTATTTCCAAGCTTGTTTCTGTAAATTCAAAGTTGAGCAAGGGAAACAATAATGGAAATGGTACAAGTAATTTTTTTTAATTTTTAATTTCTAATTTCTAATATTTTGTGATTAATTTTTTTTTAATTTTTAAAAATTGGGTGTAATTGAGAAAATCAGAAGATTCTCATGGAGTTCCATAAATATAGGAGGGTGGAAGTAAATGTACAAGCTAGTAGAAGAAGGTAGTAGTGGGGATGAGATAGTTAGGATCTTGTGATTAAAAGGGCAATTTTGTCTTTTTACTTTATTTTTAATTTTTGTTTTTGATGTTCATGAGGAGCTCTTTGTGGCATTTAATATTATCATGTAAAGTTCCTTTTTTTTGGGTCCATATATCCAGTGTACTAATGATGATATTATTAATGATGATGCAACTTCAATTCGTATACTCCTATGTTTTTTCTGTTTCTATATTATTATTTGCTTGATGAACTTATGTTAATTTTGTTACGAGTACTATATATAATGATATAATGCCTAATGTGTACGGATTATTTCCTTGGCTTTGTCGATCTAGAATCAAATGTAATGTTCATGTTAACTACGTATGTATACATTGAAGTGATCGATCTCTTCATTAAATTGTATATGAGAGTGACTAATCTATGTTAAGCGAGCTTTAAAATTCGTATTAGACAATAGACAAGTAGAACAATTGAAAATGTTGGGTCTGTGTTTGTGTGGCCAATAAGTAGTTTAAAAGGAGTACATGTGTATGTACACCACTAAAGAGAGTGTATTGAGTGAATTCAAGAAAAACTTGTGCAAGTGCCATAAATAGTTTTGGTGATTAATGACTTAGTTTGCCAATCTTTATCTTCCTTCTATTGCGTTCTTCATAATCACGGAATAGTATATATTTTCCATTTTTAGTTACAAAATTAGTCACAAATGATCAAATTATATATGTAGGGCCTGTTTACATTTATTAAACTGAACTGAATTGAACTGATTGTAGCAGAATAGAACTGAACATGTCCTTAGTCTTTCGAAATGACAAACATGTTGAAAAAATGAAAACTATTATTCATCTATCCTTGCCATATTATCTTTTAGATGTTTTTTTTTTTCTAGAAATAGCTAAACAAATTTATATAAAAAGGTTGTTTTGCGTGAAATCTGTGTCACCCAATTTGACATATTATTAGTGTTAATTAAGGTCCAACATTTCAACACACACCTCTTTTATCTGGCCGTTTTATTCAATTAAAAGTTGTAATGTGGGTTAACTTTTAAGTTAGTGACACTTATAAGTGTAATCCTCCTAAAGAAACAGTGAAATTAGAATGCAGCGGTCATTTTCGTAATAAGGATCTGATGTATAATTTGGCTTCATGATCTCAAACATACTTTAGTGGCTAATTCAATATTCCACTAGTATGCCGACTAATAAGTCATTAGATTATGTTCACCATATAGTTCATAACATAATAGGAACTCAAAGTGCAAATTTGTACATACAAGTATAAATTTTGGTTTGCTAATTGTTGTGTGTTATGTGTGTATGAGCATTATACTAATGCTAGTTATCCCAGTGTTATACACTTATATGTGAATGTCATTTAGTTTAGTTGTATTAGGCGTGATATCTAATGCTTGAGATGAAATTTTACACAAGATGATGTACGACATATACCTGTCAATTAATCTGGTTTTGCCATGCCAGTAGTAGACATCCACATTCAACTTTCTAGTACTTTCACTGTGAGAAATCCGAACGACTTAAATCAAAGCATGAAAGTTGTGATATATCAAGTACTACACTTTAAAAATGGGCCATATTTTCACATATTTGCAATCGCATCTAGACATCTAGTTTCCATTTTTATTTGTTACATGAATTCCTACCTTTTCCAAATCTATGAGCAACAAATAACAAGATGTATTTGTAATGCAAATGCCAAGGCCAAGGGTGATAATCTTGTTGTCATTAATATTTTGAAAGGTAAGGTCCCATGCCATTGGATGATATTAAGGAACTTCTTGCCATATTGGCTCATATATCTATCGCCAAGCCAATCCTGTGTAATCTGTTTTATGATTAATATAATGTATTCTTTTCTAGTGTCAAAAGAAAAAAAAGGCAATCGTGCAACATATTATATAACTTAAGCAGTGGCGGATTTTGGGCCAAAAAGTTTGAGGGGTCAAGGGTTGATCCTCTAATTACCTTTTGCTCAAAAATAACAATAGTTAACCACTATGTCATAACTTTTTAATTGTAACTATTAGACATTATATTACTTTTAACCAATTACTTAGAAAAATTGGGGGGGGGGGTGGAGGGGCCGACCCGCCGCAACAAAGGTCCGCCCCTGAACTTAAGTAAAACAAAAATAAAAATACACTATACTGTACACCATTTACAAATAAAAAAAAAATTGTAATTCATTACTAAAGAGGCAAACGACCCCTACAAATAATGAATTTTAAATTTAACATACACATAGAAAACTAATCAAACAAATGTTTCTTTCATGGAACGATTGAATGTTTATTAGTATATGTACTCCGTATAATAGATTTTGCATTGTGGTATAACTCTCACGGTTGAATAATTACGGAGTATATTTTTGCATGCATTGTGGTATCATTCTTGAAGATATCAATGAAATAAGCTTTCTTTTAGAAGGCCTAGCAAATAATCCCAAAAAAAAAAAAAACACGAAATTGGTTTTTAACACAAACTCTTTTAAAAATGTTGTTTTACCACCATAAAAAACTCATACTCCCTCCATTTTTAAATATTTGTTCCACTTTTCTTTTTAGATTGTTTTTAAATACTTGCTCTGTTTCCTTACTTGGAAATCTTTTACTCTATACAATATTAGATCTATTTCTCTCACCTAGTGGATCAAACATAAAATCACATTTTATTAATTTCATATTAAGATATTCTCTCAGTTGCTTTGGTTTTTACAATTTTCTATTCTTCCCCTACCCCACTACCTCTATATTTTATTACTTTCTCACATTTTTCCTAAAACTCTGTGCATGGAGAAATGAATCAAGTTTTTAAAACGGAAGAAGTAGTTAGTTTTCACCGCCAACTAACGGGATTTATCCAAGAGTTCGTTATTGCGACCCATTATAACACCATCTACATGTATCACAAAACTATTGGGTTTAAAAAATTATTCATTGTTTTTTTAAAAATAACTACTCCCTCATTTCTACTCTCTTTTCTCTCTTCTCTCTCCTCTCTCCTCTCTTTAGGGTTTTAATTTTCTTGGTCGTTTAGGCCGGAAATAGTCTAATTTCTTCGGAAATAAGACTATTTCCAACCCTTTTATTCAATTTAATTTGTTTTTTTGTTATTTGATTTATTTTGCTTTGTTTTGTTCTCTCCGTTTGTGAGAGTCTGTCCCAATTTTTTGGGATTTTGATTCTCATCTATGGATGAGAATTTTATTTTTAGGGTTTTAATAATAATTGAGAAGGTGAATTGGATTCATATGGGTTTAGGGTTCATCATCAACTTTACGATCAAAACATCAGCGTAGATTGCGAAGGTCTCTACTTGGAAAGATGCAAAAACATCGAAAATCACTACTCGCGTCAAGTTTGAAACGGTGGAGTGTGAGCTATGCCCGATATGCAAATTAGTTATGATTTTGATTGTAAAAGTTATGTTATTTTCTCTAGATTTGTGGTTTACAAATCTTTATTATTGTTGTAAATGCCGTATGGCTATTTATTAATGATAATATTCTTCTTCTTGTCAAAAAAAAAAAAAAACTATTGGGTTTAAAAAGAGAGAAAAAAAAACCTAAACACTAACCCAACCACCACACCCACCACTAACGCACATACTCCCATCGTCGTCAACCCCTTCCCCATCTCACCCCATCGCTGGCATCCCTGCTTGACCGCCGACACCCCCAAAACACCCTTTTACCTAACTTGTCCCCGATTATCGAAATTTTACACACTGGGTACATCTAGAAATTGTGTAACCCAATAACAGTCTTTTGTGAGAAAATCAAAACTTATTTTTATAGCTGAAAAATAAAATAAAAATTGGCCGAAAAGTTTACAATTTTGTTTATTAAGAAGATAAATTGCGATTTGCTCGGGTTTTACCAAAGCAAAACGGGAGAGAGGAGAGACGTTAGAAACGACGAGTTTATGTTCATCAAATAGTAAGCGATACCAAGACAGACTCAGAGAGCACTCATTTTGCACACAGGGTGGAAAGAGAGATCACTCCACTTACACACCGACACTCTCACTCCACATTGCTCATCGAAATTGCTGGAATCGAAGAAGCCTAATCTTCAGCAGAAATTCATCTATTTCTTTCTTATCAATAATTTTTCAATTAATTCAAAAGATCTCATCCTTCTTTAATCGATTGTTTGATTGATCAGAGTAAGAGAGAGAAATTGGGATTTCAATTTGAATTAGTATTGGAAAATGGCGAATTGGCCTCCTGCAATTCTGCTCTTCGCACTGTTGATTCCGCTTCTTTTCAATGCCGTTTCCTGTAAAACCCTTAAACGTGATGGTAATTTTCTCTATTTTCTGTGTTTTTATTTTTGGGGCTTGATCTAAAATCCCTAAATTGTTTTATTATTGTTCATTTATGATCATATATTTTGGGAATGATTGCTTTTCTGTTTGATTTCTTTGGAGCTGGAAAAGATCCCCTTTTTCTGTTATTAGTTTGATCTATTGTGAAAGATAGGGAAAAGGGTTTTTCTCTTTTTTGGATGATATGCTATTGTAGATTTTCCATTTTAAGTAGCGGTGATGTTATTGGAAAGATATTGTTACCATTTTTCGAATCAAATTCCGAAATTGTGTTGTTCATTTTGTGTGGAAATTAATCTCCTTGTTTGCGTTTGAGTTTTGCCTTTGTATATATCTTGTTTGATTAATTAGGGTTACAATGTTGGAGTTCTGGCGTTGTTTCTATTGATAGATTTGCTTTTCCTGTTTTTGAGACAAGCAATTAGCAATGATTCGAGCATCGTAATGTCAATAACATGAATAGATGGTGTGCTTCTGATCCTCCATTAGTGAATTAGGCAGACCTACGTTACGGCAAGCTAGGGGGTTAGATGTAAGCTGCTGTATCTACGAACCGGCAAAGATGCTTTTTTAGTCTGAAGGAGCTTCCCAAAATGGACTTCGTCTCTTAATTCAAAAGGCACCCAATTTGTATATGTTTCTGATCCTCCATTAGTGAATTAGGCAGACCTAAGTTACGGTAAGGTTGGGAGTTAGATGTAAGCTACTGTATTTGTTAACCGGCAAAGATGCTTTCTTAGTCTGAAGGAGCTCCCCAAAATGGACTTTGACTCTAAATTCAAAAGGCACCCCATTTGTATATATATATTTATCTAATGCTTGATGTGAGCTTGCTTGGATTCCCCTGGTCTAATTGGGTTCTTTTTTTTTTGGGGTTTCTTAGAGTGAGTTTTTAACTTACCGAGTTATGTTTTTGCAGTGAAAGCATTGAATGAAATAAAGTCATCGCTTGGATGGAGGGTCGTTTATTCATGGGTTGGTGATGATCCATGTGGAGATGGTGATTTGCCTCCTTGGTCTGGTGTAACATGTTCTGTTCAAGGGGATTATAGAGTTGTTACAGGACTGTATGTCAAATTTTTTCCTCCTTTATCATATTTTTTATTTCTAGCATTATGTAATGTCTCTAGTTTTTAAATTCTTATTACATAAAGAAAAATGCTATGCAAAAACTATTTCTGAAAAGCATTTCTTCAATTTTTTTTTAACATAATTTTAGCTTTTTGCATATTTTTACAAATTAAAGACTGAGGGAAGAATTGATATTGGTTGTTCAAAAAAAAAAAAGATATTGGTTTATGTTTTGCATTGTTATTTAATTTGCAGGGAAGTTTATGCAGTGTCAATTGTTGGTCCATTTCCCATTGCTGTCACTAACCTGTTGGATCTTCAGAGGCTGTAAGTGTGTTTAATGCCTTGGTTTACATTATTAGCATCCATAGGTGCTGATGACCTGAAATCCGTTATTTACATAAATATACTTGCATGACAGGGACCTCCACAACAATAAGTTGACTGGGCCAATTCCTCCTCAGATTGGACGATTGAAGCGCCTGAAAGTTCTGTATGACCCTTATGGCTTTATTCAATAATTTTGGTTTTCCCATTATTTTGATATTCTGTGTGTGTGAATTAAGAACTATATGACTTCTAGATTAGGGGACATCTACTTGAAGTTTTCCCTTGATTATTTGCGCTGTTGTACAGACTACAGAGTGTGACTTTCCTTATAATTCCCTATTTTCAAGGGTCAGCTTGAGACTTTAGTTCCTCTCCTCTCTCTTTCTTTTTAGGATTTGTTGGCAATGTTACTTGATTACCCAATACCCCACAAACTACTATAAAAAACACATGAATTGGTACACATTAGATTAGTTTAACAAAACCAGATAGCGAATCGCTTTTCTGTATCCATTGCGTGTAATGTACCGTAAAGGCGTGAACTAGTAACACTTGCAGGCTTGCAGCCTTACAGGCAAAAATGAGAACTATTTCTATTAAAGTGGTTTTTGGTGACAATTGTGGTGACAATCATTAAACAAGAGTGCCATCCCCTTCAGGATCAAAGTTAACAATGGAAAAGCAACTTCAATGGCCTGACAAACCAAAGTTATGATATTCCTGTTCTATTATTATACAGTGTTTAAAGGCAAATCAAGTTAAAATGCTATGAGCTGTGGAGATAGTCTTGGCCTTATTTCTATGATTATATACATTTTATCTGCTTAGATAATCATCCATTCTCAAACTTGGCGTTTTTGCCTTGTAGGAATCTGCGATGGAATAAGCTGCAGGATGTCCTACCTCCTGAAATAGGTGAACTGAAAAGTTTGACACATTTGTAAGAAATCTTGACTTAAAGAGTACAATTTCTTTGTTTTTTTGCTGTTTCTTTGTATTTTTCTGAATGGAAGATGTTAAATTCTACCTCCACAGGTATTTGAGCTTTAATAGCTTCAACGGGGAAATTCCTAGAGAGCTGGCAAATCTTCCTGCACTGCGGTATTTATATTTACATGAAAACCGTTTTGTTGGGCGAATTCCTGCAGAATTGGGCAATCTGCAGAATCTTCGGCATTTGTAAGATTTTAAAAGCAAACTATTTGTTTTTTTTTCCCATTATTTTATACTATTTTCTTGATCGATAATGATGTTACAATCATCACCACTTTTATAATAATAATTCTCATCTTTGTAGGGATGTTGGTAACAATCATCTAGTTGGTACAATTAGGGAACTCATACGCATTGAAGGATGCTTTCCTGCCCTTCGTAATCTGTAAGTTATTGTATAGCAGTTGCCTGTATCATTTGTTTGCATTGTTAACCCCACTAACTTCTTTGACCTGCTGTCTAGCTACCTGAATAATAACTATTTGACTGGAGGAATTCCGGCTCAGCTAGCAAATTTAACGAACTTGGAGATCTTGTAAGTAACACCCCCCCCCCTCCCCCTCCCCCAAACACCCCTTTTTTTGGTGTGTTGTACAGTTTATTCTCTTAAGCTGGTTATTTTTCTTTATCTTGAATCGTACGAGAAACTTATGGTTTGCATATGTCACAGGCACCTGTCATACAACAAAATGACTGGAATAATTCCATCCGCCCTTGCTCGTCTTCCTAGATTGACATATCTGTAAGTCTCAACTCTAACTGACTGTATACAGTGAAATTTGAGCAGCTGAATTCTCTATAATTTAATGCATTGAAATAACTGAAATCTGTTATTGGTCCCTACTTTAAAAATATAGAAAAGAAATCTTGGGTGTTGATTTTTTTTGACACATTGGGTGTTGATAAACTTTACATGATTTATAAGAATGATCCTTGTACACCCCTAATTCAGGATTCCAAAACCAATTTTGTCTGTCTTCAAGTGTGCTTTTAAAGTTTTAAGCTTAAGGACTCCTAGGACTTTCAAATTTGGCCATTTAGGGAAGAGGGAATTGGAGGAAGAGTTAAATTCTAAATCGACTGTTTGGTATGCTGACAAAATTATAGATCATATGGCTACACATTGTCTCATTTATCAAGCTCTGTAATTTTCAGGTACCTGGATCACAATCAATTTAGTGGGAGAATTCCTGACGCATTCTATAAGCATTCATTCTTGAAAGAAATGTGGGTTCTCTAAACCTTTTGAATCATAGAAACTACATAGTGTATTATAGGGAACCCGTAAGGCTGTAAGTCTGTAACCATTTGCTTTGTGATGTGTTTATGCAGGTATATTGAAAGCAATGCATTCAGACAAGGTGTAAACCCAATAGGTGTTCACAAAGTACTTGAAGTCTCTGACACAGAGTTCTTGGTCTGATTCAGAAACGCCGCTATTCTTTATCTGTCTTCACATCCCACTCCATCCACCCCTCTCCAAACAAAAAAGTAAAAGAAAAAAGAAAGCTTTTACGGCGAGAGGTGAACTCATTCGAGCTTGAAATTAAATTTTGGTTGAGGCTCCTAAGTGTAGATGAAGTAATTTGCACCCTTGTTGTAGGTACAGAATGAAAAATGTATGAATGTTGATGGCAGCAATTAGCCATTTGTTATTATTAAAGAAATTATAGATCCTCATTATATTTATTATTATTATTTATGCACTTATCTATAATGGCGTTATTATGGTCGATATTGGATATGAAGAAAATTGACTTGCTTTACGAGAAATCTTCAAACTAAACCAACCTAAAATAGATTACCCCTCAATTTATGTACCCAGAATCATAATAGAACTTTAGGTACATCAATTATGTTTTTCTCCTTACCAAAGAAATTTTTTTATATACTTGTATATATTTCCAATTTTCTATCAAGGAAGTCCTTTTTTATGCCGAAAAAGTTCCAATTAAATAACAAAATTGTAAATAAATCAACAAATATGTATTATGTTTATTCTTTATTGCCACTTATTTATCAAGGTGATAAACTCTCTCTCTCTCTTTTTTTTTTTCTCTCTCTCTATTTTCTTCTTAGGACATACAGTACATAGAATTATTTTCAACCCTATCTTTTCCTTCAATTTTTTTTTTGGTTGTTTTTGGTAAAGGCAATCTTATCCTTCATATTTGAGTTTATCTTTATCTTTCCCTTCAGATTTTCATTTTTACCTTGTACAGTTGTACGTGATAAATAACCATATTACAAGAGGAAAGAAATTGTTCAAAATAATTTTAATTGACAGTTGCTCTTGACTCTTGTAGATCAGTTGGTCAGTTGGTTAGAGCACCCGTTTAGTAAGCGGGAGATCTTGAGTTCGAGTCTCAACCAAAGCAATTCAGCCAATATTTATTTTTTTGTCGAGCATGGTAATAGCTAATATTTGCTGTTATACAAAATGTAGGATAATAATTAATATATTTGGGATAGATTTATATATCTTTTCTACAATTTTATTATCATTATCATGTGTAGAAAACAACACATTTATCCAATATTTAAGGATAAAATAGATCATCGTCATCTAATTTAATAATAACATATCTATCATCATTAGGTGTCTCCATTATATAAACAAAGCCATATATATGCCATCTAAAAACATTCAGAAAAAAAAAAACTCAAGAAACCTAGGTATACAATTCCATTATATTTCAAGTATAATGGAATTGTATAGATCAAGTGTTATATTTATAATTTCGTTTATTATAGTAATTAGTTCTAGTAAATTATGTCTTGGAATTAATAATAATAATAATAATAATGAGGTGAATGAAGTAAAAGTGACAATTAGAGGTGCAACATCGATTGGAAAAACAGATGACAGTTTTATATGTGCAACTTTGGATTGGTGGCCTTCTAATAAGTGTAACTATAATCAATGTCCTTGGGGAAAAGCTGGTATCCTCAATCTGGTACGAAACATTTTTATTTTTTTTTTAATATTTTTTTTGGTTTATTAGACATATTATTTATTGAAGAATTTTGTGATGAATTGCAGGATTTGAGAAATAAAATCTTGAATAATGCAGTCAAGGGTACGTATGCTCTCATATTTAATTACCTTTCTACTTTCTTTTATCACGTCATCACGTGTAATTAAATCTAGTTTTTTTTTTTTTTTTTTTTTTTTTTTTTTTTTTTTTGAGGAAAAATTAAATCTACTTATATTGGTTTTATTATTGGATTTTAATCATAATATTGACTTTTTATGGAGTATATGTTAAAGTTAATTACGGAGTAGATTAATATGGTTAAGGATTTTATTATTAAGCTTATAAAATATGGAGTATGAGTAAATAATCGATTGATTTTTATATTTGATGGGGAATAATTGATTGATTTTTTTATTTTTGACAAGGAATAATTGGTTGACTTTGGTCTTAATACATTTAATTTGTCTTAATTTTATTCAAATTAATTAATTAATACATCACTGTAATATAATATTATTCCATTTTATATTCAAAATTGTTTCACTAAAATTATCTCTCGTAATATATATGTTAATCCAAATAAAAATAGAGAATAAAAAATTGGACTATATGAGATGTGAGACTTAAAATTTCAAAACGCGAATGACACGTACAAATATATGTGAAGGTATAGGAGCGTACGAATAATTTTAGTAAATGATGTGTTTTTTTGTTTGAAACGTGCTCAATATTATTAATTGTGTGCAGCATTGAGTCCACTAAGAATAAGAGTTGGTGGATCACTACAAGACCAAGTGTTTTACAACGTTAGAAATCCCACAAGCAAATGCCAGCCGTTTTCCTTGAAGAGTGATGGCTTGTTTGGGTTTAGCAAGGGTTGCTTTCACATGCAAAGATGGGATGAGCTTGCTCAGTTTTTCGGTATCAACGGGTAATTTATACTTGCATCGTTACATATAATATATTATCGACTTAACAAGTTCATTATGGTCTCATATAGAGATCACAAGAAAATAGTCTTGCGTGCACCATATACTACATGTAAAACTCTATTTATGCGTGTAATTATTTTAAATCGCTAATTTGCAGGGCCCTAGTAACATTTGGGTTGAATGCCCTCGTTGGGAGGGAAAAGGTCAAGGGTGATGATCTTTACATAGGAGATTGGAATTATCAAAATGCACAAGATTTTATTAATTACAACATCTTTAAGGGACACAAGATTGACTCTTATGAACTTGGTACGTCGTTGTTTACTTGATATAACCACTTTAAAGTTTAATCTGTTACTAGTCTTACTATGAGAAATGAGATTAATCTAAGCTAAATGATTAATTTTGATGATTTATGTTATTATTAGGAAATGAGCTATGCGGAACTGGGGTATCAGCAAGAATAGAGGCTGAGCAATATGCTAAGGATATGGTGGTACTTAAAGAAATAGTCAAGAAATTGTACCCGAACCCGATAACCCGGCCCAAGGTACTGGGTCCAGGAGGTTTCTTTGATGAAAAATGGTTCACCACCTTCTTACAAGAATCAGGACCTAATGTTGTTGAAGGTCTAACCCACCACATTTACAATCTTGGTGCTGGTATGTATACTAGCTAGTAATCTAATAAAAGTATAAAATTTACTTACTACTTCCATTACACATTATTTGCAACGATTTGACATAAAATAGAGAGGAAAAATGTGTAATCGTTGCAACTTGCAAATAATATATAACAAAGTTTTTTTTTTAATCATATTTGTTTAAAAAATGTGTTTCTTACCTTGTGTTTAGGTGTTGATAAGGATCTCATAAACAAGGTTCAAGACCCCAATTTTCTGACCTTAGTAGCTCAAACATACAAAGATGTCTCCAGGGTTGTGGATCGGTTCGGACCGTGGTCTGGAGCCTGGGTTGGCGAATCCGGTGGAGCGTTTAATAGTGGTGGCAAAAATGTTTCTAACACTTTTGCTGATGGCTATTGGTCTCTTTCCTCATACATTTTTTTCTCATACATTTTTTTGCTCATATTTCTTCCTGTTACATGTTACACTTACGTATACATTATAAATGTTTGCACAATCGTTGGTTTTGGTGGGAATAGGTACTTGGATCAGTTGGGCATGACAGCGTCCTTAAACCATAAGGTCTTCTGCAGACAAACTCTAATCGGAGGGAACTATGGGCTTCTTGATACCAATACCTTCATCCCTAATCCCGACTTTTATGGGTGAGCACTAATTTTATTCTACTTATTGAGACGTTAAGATAACGTGACAATAAATTTTTTTTTAAAAAAAGATGAAATGTGACACAAAATCTCATTTTAGGGCTTTATTGTGGCACCGTTTGATGGGGAGCACGGTACTTGCAACAACTCACACCGGTTCTCCTTATCTAAGGACATATTCCCATTGTTCAAAAACCAAGGTAAGCAATACCACCAACCTAATAATGCTTTGATGTGTTGCACTACCTATGTTCGGACTTGGATAAATTACACTATCAACGTGACAACTAATTCCGGACAAAGGGAACCTCATTTTTTGTCCACTAGTAAGATGTAACTCGTTGGTATTAACCTTTTTCTATTTATGTTATTTGCAGCCTGGGGTTACTCTACTGCTCATCAACATGTCAAATTCCACCACTTTCAATATAGATTTAGTGAATGATCACAACTTATTCCCTGAGCCAAGAATGACAAACACAAAGCCATGGTTACAAGAAAGAGAAGAGTATCATATAACCCCAAAAGATGGGAATATTCAGAGCAACCAGATTCTTCTCAACGGGGAGTTATTAAGTCTAACTCAGACATCCGACATTCCTGAGATGAAGCCTGTGTTTGTGACGACGTTTTCACCTATCAAGATTGCACCTCATTCATATGTTTTTGTTACCATTAGGAACTTACAAGTGCCAGCATGTAATAGTTTCTATGATTTTTTTTAATTTGAACAATTAAATTCAGCAATAACAACATTCTCTTTCAGTTCTTCTGAAATTTTCGATCTCTAGAAACAAATTTTCTGATTTTTACAGAGGATAGAATGACAAAGAACACAAGGAGCTTATATACAGCTTCATAAAAAATAGCCTTTTTATTTACTGCTTGTGTAGTTGTGTCATGTATACATACAGATGGAAGTAAAGAATGAATTTGAATCCAACTACTACAAGTAAAAGAATGGAAAGAATGAACAGAATTTCAACCTCTAACAAAAGTGGAAAAATTACAGAATGAATATTATAAAGACCAGTTACAGAAGGACAGGAAACTGAGGTACTGATTCTAAATCACTTGTTAAGCAGATGGCGAGTACGCTGGTTAGCCCCTTTCACCCTGGAGTTCAACTCATCCATGTCAGTGTCAAGATGATCAAGTGCTTTGTTTTGCCTGCAATCAAAACGCCCATCAGAACATACAAAGGCGAGTAGCACGAAACAAGCTACTTAAATGTTAAAGTAAAGCAAGAAAAGGCTAAGCCTTTTCAAAATCAAAGGTGGCAAAGAAAAACTTACTTGTCGAGTTCAGAACCCATGTCTGATGCCATACCCTTTAGATCACCCAGAATATTACTTAAATCTGAAAGAGCATCATCTTGCTTTTCCTTCTCCAACTAATCACATAAATACACAAACAAAAAAATTTCAAAACAAGAATCAAGCTAGAAGCCTAAAAGTAAATACTTCTGATAATTTGATCAAAGGACTAGTGCTATGTCATGAGAAATATTACAGACCTCAACTTTCTGCATGGTTGCTGATTGTCCAGAAGGGGGTGTCTTACTACTTGGCTTTCCTTTTGGTAGAGGAGCACCCTTTAACTTTTCTTTCTGCTCTTTTGTTGCACTTTTGGATGGTGCATCTGACAAAATAATGAACAAAATTACACAGCTACATAATTTGTATTTGTGCTCATATAAAGATGAGCAAAACATGGAAAGAGAAGAATAAAACTAAACACGTAACAGGTGAAAGAGAACCTGGTGACATTATCGGCCCTGTTATGCTACGAGTTTTCTTTGGCTTCCATGTCTTGGAGAACATTCCCCCAAGACTGTTAAGCAGCTTTTCTCCCTGAATAGATTATGTCAAAAGAACAAACATGTCCATTCCATCAGAGTAATTCATTGGATGAAGTGTTATAATTCAAAAGCTTATGTATCAACCCACCAAGCCTTATACACATGATAATCTACAAAAACTATGGATACATGGTGTTGAAATAACTGTAGCATATTTCACAATAGAACTCAAGAGGAATCTACAATGGAACAACATACTTTAAATGCAAAACTATATCCTGCATTGCCATACAAACATCTAATGTGGCTCAAGTAGTGGCATGCCAACATAATATGCTCACTAGCTTACTATATATGTCCATGCTGTACGATTCCAAGTTTATTAGTCCCAAAAATTTACATTTCAACCTATACATTCAACCAAGGGACACAGTGCTGCATACAAATCCCCTTTTTAATGTGCATTCTTGCCACTTTAACAATGGAAAGACCCGAAATCCATAGACCTAATAGTTGAAAACGGAAAGTACAAAGTCAAAACACAAATAAACTACCCTCTTAACATCTCACACCCAACAACTTATTCATCATATAACTCACAAAATCAACAACAAACAAACAAACAAACAAACATCGCGAAAATCAAATCATTGATACCCTTTATATACTTGCTACCTATGTCCATTAATCCAATTCCAAACATTGTTCTAACAAAAAGAACCACTATAACATCATAAGAAGCAAATTAAAGAAATACCTTACTCAAATCCTGGTCAATACCAACAGCCATCTCATGAGTCCTATGAATCTGCTCACCTTGTTGATGCAAGGTTTCGAGTGTTTTAGTAGCATCTTCCCTAATATCCTCAGCAATCTTAAGACAATTGTTGACAGACTTAGTTGTCTCTTCAGCCTTATTAACTGCATAACCCTCAAGCTCCTGCATTGACTTGTTCTCTAGGCTATCATTAAGGTCTTGAGATACCAATATAGGCTCAGACGATGTTCGCCTCGACCGGAGACCTGATTCAGCATTTGGATGTGCAGGACTAGCTGCAGTTGATGCTGAACCTTTTTTCCTAAACCCAAACATTGTTGAAATGTCCTATCCTATCTAAGTGTTTTTTTTTTTTTTTTTTTTTTTGAAATTTAGATTTACACCCTGAAAATTTCAAACCCTAACATCAATATAACCAAAATTGGGAATTTGTATAGTAATTAATTAAGGCAAATGATTAATTTCATCGTGATAAATTCATCAGAATCGGATAATATACAATTGCATTGATTAATTAATCCATCAATTCTAGATATATCATTAATATTCAAACAATCAAACATAGACAAAATAATACTCGTACATCATCGATAATTATAGCAGATTAACAAGAAAATACAAGAAAACCAGAAAATTGAAATTGTGTACCTGAGAATTGACGAAATTCGAAGTGGGTATAAAATGTAGGTGATAAAATGGTACAAGAATTAGGAAGAACGAAATTAGGGTAAAATGAAAAATTAGGGGAATTTCAACGCAATGAGGAGAGAGAAAGAGAAGCGTGGGTAAAATTAGAGAGAAAAAGCGAGAAAATTGAGAAATGGTGGTAATGAGAAGATGATTGGCGCTCCAGAAAAACAGAGCCAGAACAATATTTTCTCTCCTTTGACATTTCGACCGTTATATCGTGCTTTACATATTTTGGGTCAACGGTCAACTCTATTTCTTTTCTTTCTCCTTCTTATCTTGTTATCTAAATTTTTCCCAAAAAAATTGTTATCTAAATTTATTTGTCATATTACTCCATTTTAGGGATGGCAACGGGTCGGACTCGAAGTGGATTATGCTAAATCCGACTTCGACCCGACAGGAAGTCGGAGGTTAAATTCGACATCCGACTCCGACTCCGACTCCGATTTCAATATCCGACCTCCGACTCTGATCCGACCCGACTCCGAGTTTTTTTTTTCATTATTCAATATACCTTGAGATGTTGAGCTATTTGGGCTTTTACAACCCACACCCAATGCCACCATGACCCTTTATCTATTGGAGTCGGAGTCGGATAATCCATTAAAGTCGGACATTTATCGGAGTCGGATTTTTTGTAGGATCTGACTCCGACCCTCCTCCGACTCGGAATCGGATTATTTTAACGGAGTCGAACTTAGATTACTTTTTTCTCGAACTCGGAGCGGATATTTTACCTCGGATCGGGGCGGAGTAGGGTCGGATCCGGACTAGATTGCCATCCCTACTCCATTTACTCGCTTTTTTGCCGTGATTAAAGTCAATAAATAATAAATATAGAGGACTTTATATCCAAGAGTAAATTGTTATAAATACTCCGGCCATAATTTATAAAATTATGATAAATTCTTAATTACAAGCATATTTGATTAAACTATTAGCTCATATTAGATTAGGTCCCGTGCCATACACGGTAACTTTTAGTAATTGTTTCATATTAACAATACCTTTATTTAAACAATATAAATTTGTCTATAATATTATGACTTATTAAAGAGTATGTTAGCACACTTATTTTTATTTTTTTATTTTTTATTTTTTATTTTTTTGCTCATTTTTAACTCTTAAATGAGAAGAAAAAAAATATTTTAATAAGCAAAAAAAAAACTACCTTGGGTACACCTACCTGTATGTGAACCCGGGTATATATAAAAGGTGGTCGATGATTGGGGCATTTGAAACTACACATTTGTTAATGTGCATATTTTTTTAATATACTCGATTTCACTAACAAATGGTATTCGTATCATTTTCTTAAAAAACGTTGGACATTACACCATGTATGTCTCAAATTATGGGAAGAATGTGACTTTTTTTTTGTTGCTTAAATTTATAGCAGTTATATTTTTAATTTTTTGTGGAAGGATACCTCACATCTTTCTTTTTTTATTTTTTATTTTTTTTAGGAAAGGATACGTCAAATCTTTTATTTTATTTTTAATATTTGATATTCGAACTATTGAGCTTCTAATAAGTAATCAAATAAAATTAATTTAAAAAATAGAATTCTTGTAATATATGACACAAATTCTATATATATATAAAAAATTTAATGTATCTACTTATGTTTATATAGTTGACAATAGATTATAGAAAATACATCAAATCTTTTATAATCTTTTATATATGTATAAAATTTCTACTCCGTAAAAAAAATAAAAAATAAAAATAAAACCTAAGGTCACACTAGAACATGACACGTGTCACTGTTGGTGTGTCTTTTAGTATATAGTTATTGATGATTGATTATTGATGATTAATAACCTTAGATAAAATGTGATTGTACATTAGTTGTGCTTTATGAAAATGATGGTAAGAAAAATTAAGGGTCTGTTCACTTCAGTTTGAATTCAGTTCAGTTCAGTTCCTAATTTCCTTCTCTCATAAAATATTCATTTCAGCTCTATTCAGTTCATCTCTAATCAATTCAGTTCAGTAAATGTGAACAGGCTCTAAGGAGTTAGAAGGCGTTTTTATTCTAAAAGTATTTCATTTTATTGTAGGTGAGAATGACATGGTGGCACTATTCTTCATGATTATTTATGAATATTTTTTTTAAAAAAATTGAAATTAGTTTCTTTCTTCAAGATAATTAAAAACAATATTAGAAAATTATTTTGATTGTAGTATAATTGGAAGTTCTCGCATTGGAATTCTAAACCGGTCTTATTGTTTTGACTTGGTTCTAGCTAGCATAATTGATTAGTTCTTCCTTTTTCGATTCTTGTATTTTTAATTTTTCGATCTTCATGTAGATCCAATCTAATCTAGTTTAAGAATTTAGTCTTGCTTATGTTAATGACATAATTGACATTAGTTTTCAAATTATAAGCAAAATGATGTGTAAAAAGTCTCTTTTTTTTTTTTTTTTTTTTTTTTTTTTTTGCTTAACTTACATAAATGTTGGTGTAATCTTTTACTTAATGATGAAAATAATTGACAAGTTGTATTAACAAGTGACTATCTATATGGAATGATCAATAATGACAATTGGTATCTAATGAACAACACAACAAGAAGAATTGTTAGGACCACAATTGTGCTCCATAAGAAACTCTAACCACTCTTATTCAACAAATCTTTATGAATGTTGATATTTTTCCTTACCTCCTTTCCCATGGAGCAAAACTTCCTTCTAGAAGAAAATTTCTTCATGATCTGAAATATCTTATTGCTTGCTTCATGTGCCATACTATTTACTACATTTATGAACATTATAAGTTTATGATGACAACATGAATTGACCCTCTCCTTTGCCACTGTAAGAAATAAAAAAGCCAAAAAAAAAAATTGAAAAATAGTGAATGAGGTGACACTAAGGGCATGTTCTGATTTATTGAACTGAGCTGAGATGCATGAACTGAATTGAACTGAACTGATTGGAGCTGAATTAAACTGAACTGAACTAAATATTTTATGAGAGAATAAAATTAAGAACTGAACTGAACTGAAAATAAACTGAAGTGAACATACCCTGCAGCTTGAAATTAGTGTTTTACACTTTGAGATATCAAGCAATTACGCATACTTTAATATAGATATAGATGTACAAATTCTATTGAAAATGTTAGAATATATCAAAGTTCTTTATACTCTATGGCTTTATCTAACAAAGTAATTTTTAATCAAATGTCCACACCATCAGTTGTAAATAGGAAATTTTGTCCGGGATTATCCCATATATAGCTAGTTTTGTGAATAACTACTCGAAATTTTTTTAACAACTACTCCTAAGATGTAAAAATTTTGTTTAGCACTACCCTTTAACAATTTTCGTCCAAATTTTCGTGTATGGGGCCTACAACTACGTTTTCCCATCCAGTTATCTCTGTTCCCAACTACCTCCATTTTCCTTTATAAATTTCCTTCCATTTAATTTTCCTTCCATTTAATTTTCCTTCATTCTTTCACCTTTCACTCTCTATAGATTAACCTAATCAAATCTTATTGCTCTAAATTTATTGCCAATTTCTGTAAATTAACATGTTAATAAACACCCTTTTCATCTTAAACGCTATCTATTTCCTACTTATCTTTTTGCTTTGCTGGTTGGGTCCATGTCAATGACTCAAATTAGCAAGGGAAAATAAGGACCAAGGAGGTACAATGTAGTAGTTGCTATGAAACTTGTGGTCTTTCCATTCAATAAATCCTTAAACCCTAAACCCAAAAAATTAAAAAAACACCAATTCAATTCAAACCCTAAACCCTAGAAATTCAAATCTCCTTATTCAATTGAAGCCAAAAACCCTAAATTGAATCCTTAATTATGATAATAATTCAAGTAAATGAAACTCCTAAATCAATTACATTGCCAACAAATTACAACAATTACTTAAAAAATTATATGATTTGGTGAGTAATTATCTTTAATTGCTCAAATATATGGTTCTTGGAATTTTTTGTTGTGACTGGAAGAAAAGAATAACAATACGAATGTTGGATAAGTGGGAAATGAATTAATAGGGTGGATAAATGATACTATGGCCCCCACAAACGGAAAAATGGAGCGAAAAATGTTAAAGGGTAGTGCTAGACAAAGTTTTTACATCAAAAAGATAGTTGTTTACAAATAGGAAAAAATAAATAAATTGGTTGTTCATAAAACTAGTCATTTATGGGGTAGTACTTGATAAAATTTCATTGTAAATATCGATTAAATTTAGTTTTACTCCTACCCCCATTATCAATTGAAAATATCGATTTTATTTATTTTTACCGAGTCTGAATTGAATATCAGTGATTTTACCTTAGACACAATCGCTAATTCATTTGCTAGAGTTAGCAATTTTGTCCTAGGTAAATTACTAATCTAAATCTATAAATGGTAATTGAATCAAGGGTTCATTTAACCCTAAACCTTAAATTCAATTAGTGGTTTAACTTTGTTAACTGGTAATTAAATTCTTAGTTTTGGGCTGAACACTGGAAAAACAGTTCTATTTAATTTATTGATGTGGATAGTAGGTTGAGAATTTTGCTGGAAAACAACGTCGTTAAGATAATTAGGCATGTTCATATTTTACTTTTTTTTATTTTTTTTTTACCAGATTTTCAAACTTTTTTATATGAAAACAATTGAATGTTAGATATGGATATGCTTTGTATGTACGAATACATGGTGTTTTCTGTTGAAAACAAGTAATAATCTAGAAAACTCTTGAATTGTCTTGTTAGAAAAAATCTAGCATAAATATCTAGTTGTTAGAAGGAACTAGATAAAAGACTAGCACCTAGATTTATCTAGATAAAAATAGAAACATGTATAAGTTAATTGTTGAGGTAAGTCGGTGGAATTATAACCGACATTAGTTAGTATAAATAGGAGCATACTTGCATGTACTCACTTCACTCAAGCCATGCAATAAACACATACATTTCATCATCACCATTATCTCCATTTCTCACAATACCAATTCACCAATTACAAACCATTCCACTACAACCCACTACGTAATACTCTTCCCATTTTTAACATTTTCTTGGCTTGGATGACAACTAGAGCTAGGCATGGATCGGACCAACACCAAGGCCAATTAACACATGACATAAAATTAAAATAACATAGCCCCACAAGGCCACAAGAATTGCCACTAGCACGACACAACATGAGTGAAAAATGTCATTACCTATGCATAAACTTCAATTTCAAAATTTAGCATGAGCACAACAAGTCAACCTACTTAATAATGTAGTGACTAATTAACAAATAATATAAAAACTATTGACCAATTAACAAATAATATAAAAACTATTTATTAGTAACAAATTGACATCAAACAATACAAAAAATATGCTATATATGTTGTGCATAGGTTCTATTTATAAAGATCATCACAAGCTCAATACAACAAGACCCACGACTACTAAAGTGACAACTTAAAGATCAACCGCAGTAAAACCTTGGATGCACTTCCTTGAAAAAAAAAACGTCAAAAAACAAGGACCTTTCTCATTCTCTTTGAAAGATACACCCAATTTTTTATCAACAAAATCTGTTTTTCATCCAAGCAGTCATCCTGGCCTTTAGCCATTAAATCTGCTATGAAGCTCTCCATCACATTAAACTGTATTGGTTCGGCTATGTGGATGCAGATTACACGAACACGACTCTCAAATGGGTAGTGCTCACGTGAGTTTTTCCGAAATTCGTGATAAACTCCCTTCACAGCATTATTGAATGCGATTGGCCCAACTTTTACAGAAAACCCATATTGTAGAGAATTCAAATGCCAATTATCCTCATGTACTAATTTTGACCTAGTAATGTAAACATCCTCTGTTCTTATTTTCATCTGAACCTTGATTATTTGTTGATCATCATCAATAGTTGAAATAGTTAACACAAGATCTTCAACTTGAGGTGTATTCCTTGAACTAGTAGATTTCCTTGAACTACTAGACTTGCTTGAACTAGAAAATATCTTTGAAACAGTACATTTTATCCCATTCAACTCCCTTCTCGCTAAAATTTTTCTGAGCTAGTCAATCGCATTGGTATACCGCTAAGCTAGAGGAGTAAAACATTTGGGATCGATGCTCATCGACACTGAGCAACTTGAATATGTTTGAATATTTGAGGCAAAATGAAGGTTAAGAGGAGTGGTTTGAAGGTTGAATGTAGGTATTAAATTTGCTGAAACTTGAGCATAATTAGAAATTAGGCTGAAAATTGGAAGTTTTCTGGGAATTTGAGGGATTTGTCGTTTCACTTGAGCACAAAATAGATTATTAACATTACTTCTTTTTTTTTTTGAAACAGATTATTAACATTACTAATCAACCCAGGTTTTGAGGTATGTCGACCTAACTTGGAAATCAAAGAAAATTTCAGCATTTTGCGTTGAATTCTAGAAAATTAAGGAATTTGAGGAAGAAGAAGAGAAAATAAACTTCCAAATGGGAATGTGTTACAGTATGAAAAATATAGAGCTACAGTTTTGGCGGGAACTCTCTCTATCTCTCTTCTTGTGCTTTATCTCTATTTTGTTTCTCTCTTCTCTCTATTTCTATTTCTTCTTGCTTACTCCATCCATTTCTTGTTTATTCTACATTGAGTGGTGTAAACCATGTGTGTTTCTTTGTTGTTTTTTGTTTAACAAATTTGATGCATCTCTAAATACTCTTTGATGGGTAACAACTAGAGCTAAACACGGATCTAATCAACACCAAGGCCGATTAACATACGATATTAAATTAAAATGGCATAGCCCCACAAGAGTTTTCATTAGCACAACACAACACGAGTGGGAAATGTCATTAACTATGAATAAACATCATTTTCAAAATTTAGCATGAGCACAAGAAGTCAACCTACTTAATACTGTAGTGACTAATTTGCAAATAATTTAAAAACTATTTAGGAACAAATTGACATTAAACGATATAAAAAATAGGCTATATATGTTATGCATAGGTTCTTTTTATAAAGATCAGCATAAGCTGAACACAACACAATTTTTTCTTAACTCATTCTAAAAGCGACTCGCTACAAGACCCACGACTACTAAAGTGACGACTTAAATACCAACCACAAGTATAACCTTGTATTCACTTCCCTAAAAAAAATAAAAATAAAAATAATAATAATAATAATAATTTCAAAAAACAAGTAGCTTAACAAGCGTCCAGCATGATAAAAATGAAAAGGACGAAAATAAAGAAACATGTGCTAATATTACATTTTGGTGGTGTTGCTCACATAGTCACACTACTCAACTACCACTTGTAGCACTGGTTACTCACTTTCCACCCTACGCTAATCTTCTATACGTCTCCCTCTCTCTCCCTCTCTCTCTCTCTCTCTCCTTCTTCATTCTCTATCAATTTCCCCTAATTACTGAGAAAGAGAGAGATGCAGGGTTCATCAATGGCGGCGAATTCCTCTATTCCGACACCGATTTACTCCGATTTGCGTCTCAATTTAAGGAGTTTTAATCCTTTGTTCATCAATTTCCGAATTTTGCCGCCATTGAAGCTTTCTTCTACAAGGATTTTCTCGATTAAGAATACTGTCAGTGATCAGAAATTGCAGGACCCTGTCACTGATGATCAAAGTATTTCTCTCCTCTCTTTCTTAATTTTTTTTTTTTTAATTTTACTGTTTTTTTTTTATAATTACTATTTGCCTGATTTTAGAGTTGTTTATAACAGATTAATTACCATAATTCAAAATTAATTGTCGCATTGTAATATTGTACTGTACGTATATTAGATTTTTTTTTTTTTTTTTTTCCTAAAAGACGCTTTATGAATATTATAATAGTTAGATTATTCTCATGCTTCGTTCATTATTTAGTTATAGCTATCATATTATAAAGAAAAGTGTGTTGGAAAGTCAATCATAGTAAAATAGAGTATATTAGAAAATGTGACATACATCAGTGACTACATTATCTAGACATGTAAAATCGGACGTGTTAAAATCGTATATTATATGTGACTATTATTTTCCGATAGAGGGAGTTTATCTATAAAATCGGATATGTTATGTGTTTGCATTGGGTGCTTATGAGCAAATGACCCTGTACGGTACATAATAGGCTCTCCTCTTGCTTGTTTCAGATTAAATTAAAATGAACGTGATTGCTGAGAGTTTCTTTTTAACATAATTGAATAGTTGGTGATCTAATCTACTGTATTTTGCAACAAGAAAGTGTTTTTGAATCTGTAATAGGCCTACTAAATTGATGTTTGCTTCGTCGCTTGTACCTATTAATGGTTGCTTTTACCCTATGCTCATAATATACAGCGGTAGTGTTCATCTTTTGACCTCTGGTGTACTTGTCCAACTCTTCCACGCGCACTGTATTAACAGTTGTTTTCGATGTTCTTGGACATAACTGTTGTCAGTCACAGGTCCTGAGAATTCTTTTGCTCCGGACCCTGAATCAGTTGCTGCAAGCATTAAATACCATGCAGAGTTCACTCCCTCCTTCTCTCCTGCACAATTTGAGCTTCCCAAGGCATTCTTTGCCACTGCAGAAAGTGTTCGTGACATGCTTATCATCAACTGGAATGTTACATATGAATTGTATCAGAAGACAAATGCCAAGCAAGCATATTATCTGTCAATGGAATTTCTCCAGGTTCATTTTGTTTTCTTGGACTATTTACTCCGGAAAACAACTCATAGTCTTCTTTTGTCTTGCAACTACTGAAAACATCTATGTTTATCATAATATGTACCCCTAAATAAGAACTTGGGCAAATGTGCAAGCAGATTTCCAACTATAAATTTTGCTTTGAATAATTGAAAATATCTATCTTGAACTTGTATTACTTCTGATATTTTGTATATTCTCGATGTGTTTTTGGTAGTGTAGGGCAGAGCTTTGCTAAATGCAATTGGCAACCTTGAGCTATCAGGGGCTTATGCAGAGGCTTTGAGAAAGCTTGGATATAACCTCGAAGCTGTAGCCGAGCAGGTTCCTTCACTACATTCTATATTTTTAGCATAGTGTTTGCTGTTAATTTCTTCATCCTTTTAAGCTAATTACTTCATAGCAGGAATTTTAACCTCTATGACATGTATACATCTGACAGATAACAGTAGAATCTGCTTAGTGCTCGGAGTGATATCTGCATGCATTTTGGAACTTTTGGAATTAGAAGTTCAAATAGACTTGACTTGATCAAAAAACTAAAGTAGAATACTTGGTGTTTACTATGTTATACTAAAAAAAAAAAAAAAATTCCTTAGCGAAGAAATTACAGTGAGAGGAGAATTTATTATGTTCCTGAAGTTTTCATACTTATCTCATGATGGTCTTGTTCCCTGAAGATAGATGACATTCCATTTGATACGAATCTTGAAAATTGCTGATTGGCCTGATTGATTTTCACAGAAAAAAACATTATATTTGGCACATCAATATAATTATTTCACACCCACACAATATGATTAGGTGAAATAAGCACAATGTATGGTACCATAATGTTTACATGGAGTTTTTCAGTTTTTATTTTAATTTTTTAATTTATTTGTTTATAAATAAAAAATGCATACATATATATCAAATTGTTAAGATAAGGAGATATGCTACCTTCTCAGCATTGTGGTGGGGCCTTGAAAAAAAGTCACAGCTGCTGATGATTTGCTTCCATGTATGTAGATAGGACTGACAGAAGATCATTATCTTTAAACTGAAAATTCAAGTTTTCAACAAAAAAGCAGAACGCTGTATAAGAGGCACTAGTTAAACTGGCCAATGTGTGAGATACATGTATCTTCTTGAAAATGCTCTCTTCATTTTACTTACTGGGGTCTGTATCAATATCTCACAGGAGCCAGACCCAGCATTAGGCAATGGGGGACTAGGACGTCTTGCCTCCTGTTTTCTGGACTCTTTGGCTACACTAAATTACCCTGCATGGGGATATGGACTCAGATACAAGTATGGGTTGTTTAAGCAAACCATTACAAAAGATGGTCAGGAAGAAGTTGCTGAAAACTGGCTTGAGGTATGGAGTACTTGTTTAATTTCATCCTTTTATAATTGTTCCTACTTTGACATAGCTTCAGCTGGAGTGCTTGAATGGCAAGTTATTCATGAGTTCCTTATGAATGACCAACTAATAGGCTCTTTCTTTTTTCTATATAAGGATTTCTTTATCTACTGACTATTTAAGCATTCCGTTCAGATGGGTAACCCCTGGGAAATTGTAAGAAATGATGTCTCCTACCCAGTGAAATTCTATGGCAAAGTCATTACCAGGCCAGATGGAACAAAAGAATGGGCAGGGGGAGAAGACATAAAAGCTGTTGCCTATGATGTTCCCATTCCAGGTTATAAAACCAAAACTACAATCAATCTTCGGTTATGGTCAACCAAGGTTCCTTCAGAACTTTTTGATCTACGTGCTTTTAATGCTGGTGAACATGCAAAAGCTTTCGAGGCAATGACGAATGCAGAGAAGGTTTGTAAGAGATTGCTACTTGTTATGTATTACCAACTACAAGTTCACTGTGTAGCTCTTTGCATCAATAAACATACTATATATTTTAAAATTTTTGTAGTTGTTCAATCTGCTAATTCCATTATTGACATAGATCTATTTTTGTGAAGGAAAAATGCAGGAATGTATTTGCACCCACTGTTTCAACAACTTGATGCTTTCTTGACGTAATTTTATGTTTAATCACTAATATCTCTGTAGTAATGCACAGTACTACAAATTCACATAGAGTAAACAACTCTGTAGTATTTAGTACATATTCACATAGAGTAATGAGCTTTCAGACAGCTGTGTGGAAGTCTAAATCCTGTACTATCAATATCTGTGTTTTTAACCCAACAGTCGGCATAATATTTTCCAATCGACTTACAAACTATTCTGTCTTTTGTTTTATACTCGAGCAGATATGTTATATACTATATCCCGGTGATGAAACACTTGAAGGAAAAACTCTCCGTCTGAAGCAGCAATACACATTGTGCTCTGCTTCCCTTCAAGATATTATTGCACACTTTGAGAAGAGATCAGGGCATCCTGTAAATTGGGAAGAATTTCCTGAGAAGGTTGCCGTGCAGATGAATGACACACATCCAACACTGTGCATCCCGGAGCTCATCAGAATATTGATGGATGTTAAGGGTTTGAGCTGGGATGAAGCATGGAGTATAACACAAAAGCAAGTCTTCTATTTGCCCTCTTCATTTTTAATTTTTCCTTTTCAGAATAATTTGATCGTGCATTGTCTTAGGGCGTGGTAAATTACCTTGTGCATGCCTAACAACGATAAACCAATATCTGGATGAAATGGGGAATCTAAAGTAGATGGGTGGGTGGATTGGAAAGTGATAGTTATTAATCTACTAGGTTTTTCTTAAACTTTACTTGTTCTGTTAGCAATGATTCACCCTCATTACAAAACATGCATAGTAGCACAATCCTTATTAGTCTCTGACCTATCCTCCAGAACTGTTGCATACACAAACCACACGGTTCTGCCAGAGGCATTGGAGAAGTGGAGCTTGGAACTCATTGAAACTCTGCTCCCTAGGCATGTTGAAATTATAAAATTAATTGACGAGGAGGTAATTCTAAAAGCATTATCTGAACACGACATAATATTCACTGTCCTTGTACAGATTATCTTTTTATGTACTCTAAGTCTTGCTTTCTCGTTCCTTTCTTAACAGCTTATAAATACCATAATAGCTGAATATGGAATCAAAGATCTTGGCTTGCTTCAAGAGAAGCTAAAACAGATGAGAATAATAGACAACATAGAATTACCTGCATCCGTGTTAGAATTGCTTGTTAAACCACAAAATGGCTCCGTTATGACTCCAACTGTAGAAGATGAAGCTCCTAACAAAAATGAACCTTTGGAAGAGAAAGAATCATCCGAAGCACTTGAGAAGCCTGTAGAACTGAAGGATGAAACTGAAGTATTATCTGTTGAACAGAAACAGCAGCCTGATTTCAAACCAGACCCAAACCAGCCAAAGGCCATTCGCATGGCCAACCTCTGTGTGGTTGGTGGACATGCAGTCAATGGAGTTGCTGAGATACATAGTGAGATTGTAAAAAATGATGTTTTTAATGATTTTTATCAGGTGAATAGCACAAATAAAGCACTAATGTACATTTTGTCATACGATGTAAATGAAGCAATACTTTATCTGACCTTGATGACTGGTTTTTTTGTTGCAGTTGTGGCCTGAGAAATTTCAGAATAAAACTAATGGTGTTACCCCTAGAAGGTGGATACGCTTTTGTAACCCTGCGCTGAGTAAAATTATAACCAAGTGGACTGGATCAGATGACTGGATTTTGAAAACTGAGAAGCTCGCAGTACTGAAGAGGGTAAATGCAAATAGCTTTTTCTTGAATCTTGATGGTTAGATTGATTACATCATCTCAAGTAAATAGGACTTTATTAATTCATTTGCATGCAGAAAATCACACTAAGTATATACCGGGAAGGCTCTTCATCAATAAAATATATTAATTGACTCCCTGCCTATGGGTAGCTCCATTAGCTTCATCTCTTGCAAGAACAAAGTAAAGAAAGGACTAACTAGCCAGATGACAATTCTGGACCATGAAGTCAAACTCAATTGTAATCTCACCATTCTGTTTCATTGCATCCACCAACATAAAGTCATTGCACTATCAGACTTGAACACATATTGAGATAATACAACATCAATTTCCCACTTAATAGTCATGTGAGTTTGCATGCAGTCATACGAGCACTTCCACAACCCCTCATAGCACCCACTTACTCTGCTGGAGCTGCAACATGTGAGTTCACCCTTATCGCCCCTTGCGATCATACCCAAACCTGTGTTTCTTCATTTTATTTATTGCATCATGCCATCATATAATTCCCCTTTTCAGTGCGCTCTCTGTAATCTGCATACCTGAATACATACCACCTGCCTTCATAAAATAATATCATGGGGGCCTTATAAATGGTACCCTAAGATAGTGGTTAGAAAATTGTGACAAACAATGATTATATCATAATAATTAATATTTATGACCCAAAAAATCTGAAAGTTATAAGATGAGGAAGGAAATACAATTGGGATCTAGATGTTCATTGAGATTATTACCTAGGAACATGGGTAAATGTTATCCTACCTGTCATTTATCATCCCAATACTTCCCAACTCTTTATAAAGCTCATTATGCTAGTCTGTAGGAGAACAATGCATTGCTATGTGTGGCTTGCATTGCAACAGAGATTATCAATCACAAGATAGAAAAAATAAGAAAATGACATGATTTCTTAGCAACCATTATAAGTGTGTTGCATCCATCATACCTCTGATTATCCCAAGTTCACTAACTTTTTATTCAAATGTGGAAATGCCCTTGTTCTACAACACCTGCCTCAACAGCCTTTAAATGGATGTATGTTTCACTTCTGTAATGAGTCGGAGGATGCCTCTTATCCTGGATTTCTATGAAAATTATGTATATTGCTCCAATGTAGATAGCTCAAGCTAATTGTTGATTTCTTTTGTCATGTTCAAGAAAGTGCTGCTAGCTGCATGATTCAATTTTTGTTGTTGTCTCCAGTTTGCTGATAACCTGGAACTTCAATCTGAATGGAGGGAAGCAAAAAGGATCAACAAAATGAAGGTTGCAGACTTTTTGAAGGAAAAAACCGGATATCTTGTGAACCCAGATGCGATGTTTGATGTGCAGGTCATTTTTAGATGATGGAAGTATTTAGTCATTAATTTATTTTGTAGCTCTAATGTTCTTTTTGTTTTTACTGAGAAACAGTGATGTATGTGATAAAGCATGCATTAGAGTTACTGATTGTCTCGAATCTTGTGAAACCTCTCTATATCAACCTAAGCAATCTGAAAAATTGTTTATCCTAGTTGATGTCAATCTCCTGTATATGTAAGACTTGTTAAGTCTTTTATCTGGAAAATTACAACTTGATTCCATCCTAACCCACCAACATGTATTGTCTTATTAATTATAAAATGCTCAGTGGTTACGTGCATGTTTTAGTGATTGTTTTCTTGGTTGTTTTCTCAGGTGAAACGTATTCACGAGTACAAGCGTCAACTATTAAACATTTTGGGTATTGTTTACCGTTATAAGAAGATGAAAGAAATGACTCCCGAGGAAAGGGCTGTAAGATATGTGCCTCGAGTGTGCATCTTTGGAGGCAAAGCATTCTCCACATACGTCCAAGCCAAGAGGATTGTGAAATTCATCACAGATGTAGCTGCCACTGTAAATAATGATCCTGAGATTGGTGACCTTTTGAAGGTACTGTTACAAGTTGTTCATTTATTCATTCATTGTTTTTGTTCATTCTGCATATGCAGTCACATTATCATATAGATAATTAGACACACAGTACTTTTTAAAGCTCCCTGAACCTTGATACTTGTGGATTTTATAAGCTAGATCATTCAAGTGTTCAATAATCCATGCCACTTTAGCTAGTGAAAAAGCTATATGCTACGGCATCCAAGGTCATCAATGACTAGTACATATTCATATTAATCTTTTGAGTTTATTGGCTTGTGCTTTTGGATTTATATGTAAATATTTAAAAATGGATCATTATAGTGTCTGTGCTTTTCTTTTTGGTGTATGTAGTAGATGCACCATGTTTCTAAGATTGAGGGTGATAGGTAAACTATAAATAGCCTTACTATTATTACAGGGATGAATGATGCTCATCTGACCTTTCCTTCACCCTGCCCAAGGCAGAAGCCTTTTTTGAGCCATTGGGAATTGGGACGATGTAGTATAATCTTGCACATTGGCAAACTGGCAGTTCAAAGTCATACAGGCTCTTCACCTGCTATTAATCTTTTACTTGCTAAGTGATCAACTTAATAGTTCTCATCTTGTCAGTGTTGACTATGGATACACTGTATTGATCATTTTCTTATATCTGATGTTCTCTTTTCTCTCTCTAATTCAGTTAATTACCACCAACTTTCTTTTAGGTTGTGTTTGTTCCCGATTACAATGTTAGTGTTGCCGAAGTGCTTATTCCTGGAAGTGAGCTGTCCCAACATATAAGGTAATTTGATTTCACACCTCTTAATTGATCTCTGAAACTCTCAGTTCTCTTTTATGAATACTCAGTAAGATCATTTAAGAGATTTTTTGTTGGGAGACGGGGATGGGTAACCTTCTATTGGTCTCCCTAGCTCAACCTGCTACATGAATAGAAGATCTTCATAAAGGTCTATTATTTAATCACTAGCTAGCCAAGCATGATATAAGAATATAAGTTGGTTTATCTCGTCGTTGTTCAGCCATTAATGCGACATCCCAAAAGATGATGTGTAAACTTATACTCTTATGCATTTTTTCCGTTTGTTTGTTCCACTCAAGTACCATTGAATTTTTTTTTCTACGAGAATTTGAAAAGGATGAGTGGGGTGCAAGAAAAGGTAGATAAGATAAGAGTAGGCTAAGGGTGGGGGAAAAAAAACACTACAGTACAGAAGGTGGTTAGAAAATAACGAGAGTAGTTTATATTCTAGACTTTTAGAGCTTCTCGTTGGAAAAGTCCCCATAAAAGCAACCAATTATTCAAATAACCAACTCGATTACCTGTGGCACTGTATCTTTTAGCAATTGTTTCTGAAAAATGAAAATCATTACATATTGTTGGTCCAGTTGACAGTTATGTTCCTCGGATTCCTCAAGTTGCCATGTTAAATTTTAAACATATCAAAATGGGTATGGACTCTTGACAACATTTTGGACCAAAATTACAGAATATTTTTCATTAACTATTCAAGTCTGACATTTGGATAAGTACCAAATTAATAGCTGCTAGTACCTAATTAATAGCCGCATAACATTGGTTGACAACAGTTAATAATAACCTTAGATGTTTCCTAATGATAAGTTCTGTGGGGAATGTGGCAACTTTCAACCTCCTATTTTCTTGAAGGACGAAATGTACTGCTGGAACAAGGCCAGTGGAAACAACAATATGAACTCTGATGTGCCCCTTCAATCTTGCCTATATTAATTTCCCATCTTAATGTACTGGCTGAACTCTGTTGATGTATGATTCTTCAGTACTGCTGGAATGGAGGCCAGTGGAACCAGCAATATGAAGTTTGCAATGAATGGCTGTATGTTGATTGGCACTCTTGATGGAGCTAATGTCGAAATAAGGGAAGAAGTGGGAGAGCACAATTTTTTTCTTTTTGGCGTTGAAGCTCATGAAGTTGCTGGCCTTAGGAAAGAAAGAGCTGAGGGGAAGGTAAAGTAGTGCATACTAGCATATACTAGTATCTTTTTGTTCTTCTGATCAAATATGTTAACTCCCTTTTCCATTCAATATCACTAATATATATTGATTTTTAATACTACCATTGGTGACTTGTCAAGTTTCTCATGGAAAAGAATATGGCAATAGTTTTAAAATTCTTGGAGATCAATTTTTCAAGCAAGTGATTTGTTTCTTAATTTTGCAGTTCGTGCCTGATCCACGATTTGAAGAAGTAAAGGAATTTGTAAGAAGTGGAGTATTTGGTACATACAACTACGATGTGTTAATGGGTTCACTTGAAGGAAATGAAGGATATGGCCGTGCAGATTATTTCCTTGTTGGCAAGGACTTCCCCAGCTACATAGAGTGCCAAGAGAAGGTTGATGAGGCATACCGTGATCAAAAGGTAAGTTTCTACAATTATGTAATTGAAAGCAGATCATTTCTAACAAGCATCTTATCAGATAGATATTTAATAGAGGCCATAAAATATTAAAATGGTGTTACCCTCCCTGATCAAGTCAAGGAATGTCTCCATAAAATGCACCCATAATAGGCAACCATGATTCAGGAGTCCTTATTGAACTACTCTCTGAGGCTTTGTCATGAGTGGATAAGATCAAACATATAACTTAACTCTCCCCTTCTCTTAGAAAGGTCATGAAATAACGACCTAGTCGATCTATGCCTTTCCTATAAAGCTTTACCGGCGATGATCAACGTTTTGTAGGGGATATAAGATCGTGTCTTCGTATCCTGCCACAGAAACAAGTCCTGTGAGACATTATACGACTTGTGATTATGGTGAGACTTTCCAAGAAATGTTCTGTTCCTCCCAATATCTTTAAAGAGTCCAGTCCCTACTTGTAAAATTTAGAATGGTTGTGGTGTACTTAAAGAGGTGTGGTGGTACATTAAATGTTTGTGATGTATACCTTCCTTATGGATTATGTAATCACATTAACTACTTTAGGATGTTTAGAATAAATTGCCACATTTCCTAAAAGAATAATGAAAAAATCCTATAATAAAATCACAAGGACATGACAAAAGGGCTTATCTATTGTCTGTAAAATCATGTCATATCCGAAAGGAATTGTGATAATTTTCAGACGGAGGTAGTATATGCTTGTTTATGGTTGTGGTAATGTAATCGTGTGAGCTTTGTGATGATACCTTAAATGTGAAATATCTGTGGTGGTATGGTGTTTGGGATAGAAAATTCAGATTTGTCATTGTTGAGGCTGCTGATATATATCAATAGAATTAATTAAATTTCCATGCTTATTTCACACCATCTGTATCTGAATTTACGAAATAATATGCTGGAAGCAGAAATGGACTAGAATGTCAATCTTGAACACGGCTGGTTCGTACAAGTTCAGCAGTGACAGAACGATTCACCAGTATGCCAGAGACATATGGGGGATAGAACCTGCTATCCTGCCATAGACAATATCGGCAATTGCAGTGAAGCACTTCATCTGTATTGGAACATTTGTAGTTAGTGTATATCTTTAGAAGTCATGCTCCATCTTGTTCTTATATTTTGGTCGAATGTCGCGTACTCACGTAGTTGTAATGTACTCCGTAGTATATATAGCTGTAAAACTAGGAGGCAATAATAAATACTATGTATAATTTAGGGGTGACTTCTTACTTTAAAGATAGCTTTATAGCAAAATTCAATATGGATTTAGGGATTGGTGTTCGACATGGGTATGTATCTAAGTGTATGACTTGGCTTAATTGTGATTTTATTTTATTTATTTATTTATTATTTTTATGATTTTAGTCCAAAATAAAGTGTCAGAGTGACTACACTTATGTATTGTGTTGAGAATGCGATAAAGGTACTTGAGGTAAAATGAAGAATTTGAGCAACATCGATGATGTACAGTTGTACACACCACATGATAAACTTATCCTTAGAAAGGTGTCGTAACATTTAATTAATCAAGGTTTTTACATGATTGTACATTAGTTTTAGTTCAAATATAACTAAGTCAAAAAGATGCCTTTTTATTTTTCTTTTTTTACTTAACACGATGAACAATTTAATTTGTCACACGTATCAAATCTATAAATTGCCTTTTTGCCAAGATTAAGCATACATTGGCCTTTTATATACGGAGTAAAAGGCATGGAAATGGAACCTTTGTTCTTTTCTCTTTTTTCAATTTTTTAAAGCAAAGAGAAACTCTGACCATAAGATATTGCGAGCTTATCCCCTTTGGCGATGGCCACGTATTTTTCCCCATGTGGTGAGTATATTTGTTGCCCTAATAAAATTGATAATTATAGTATTAACATCATAATTATTATTATTTAATTTTAATTGATAGGTTGCAGGTGGTTTCAAAAATAAAATAAAATAATTTGATAGGTAATTTAGAAGTTATATTTTTTTTATAATAATATGATAAATTGATTGAGAATTTATAAAGTTATACTCATAGTTTGATAATTTGATTGTCATTATTATTCAAACATATTGTAAGCAAAAAAGTGATTTTCGCAACAAATATCATAATTGAAACAAATGATTAACCCGACATAATTTGATTAAGTACCAAATTTCAAATAGGATAAACAAGAAACAACCAGCGAAAAAAAGGGAAAAACAAGAGGAAACGGACTAAAAAGGAAAGCAGGAAATAAAACCGAAGATGATTAACTATTATTTTGATAGAGAGAGACTACCAAAAAGTGCACCTTTCCATATGGTTGTTTAATAAGAGAGGCGAAATGGGTCATAAGATACTGCAAACAATGTTAGTGCAAAATGCATAGATGAGTTGATAAGTGATTGATTATGGTAGGTTCATGCATGGTATCTTCTTCCTTTTGAAAAATGCACTGTTTAGCCTGAGTGTGAGCAGTTAAGATACTATAAATGATAATCCATATATGTATATGTGGTCCTCTACTCCATAACTGTCATATATATATATATATAGATAAATGGTAGTGTATATGTCACTTTCTATTGGAGCTTGTCAATGAAAAACACAGCCTGGTTGTTGCTTCAAGAATTATGACATTGTCCACTAATTACTGTATTAATATTAATCATTACCATTCCAAGGATAAGAACTTAATTATTTTCGGATTAATCATGATTTAAGCAATTACTTAACTTTTTGTCTATTATATATATCGAAATCGTCTTTTTGGTTTAGAGTTCAAGCTATCGGTTAATTAACTTTCATCGATTCTATACAATAGGTGTATTAAAGGGTTTACATGAAAATGATTTATAACCTAATTTTTTTTTTTTATTTGAGTTAACATTGAAATGACTGAAAATAAACCATAATGAATTCATTTTGATTTTTTTTTTTTAGACAATGAATTCATTTCAATTGATCTAAAAGAACAACATTTTACCTCAAATTTCCTAAGGCTTTGTTTGGTTCATTGTTAGTAAGGGAAAAAAAGAGAAAGGAAAGGAGGGGAAAAGAAAAGAAGAGAAGGGAAAAGAAGGAGATTTTTGTTTCCAATGTTTGGTTAATGAAAGGTAATGAAGGGAAGAGAGGGAAATATGCTTTTATTTTCTCTTTTCAGTCGAATTTCTCCAATTTTGGGAGGAAAGGAAAGCTAAAAATTTGTAAAAAAAAAAAAGAGGATTTCCTTTCACTTTCCTAATTGTCACCTTGAATGTGGAGAGAATTAATTCATTAATTTTTGAAATTAGTTTTAATGTGATTTACGGTAATATGTATGATAATTAATTTGAGTAACTAACTTTTATGTGATTTAAAATAGCTAATATATTTGTGAACAACTTTTTGACCTCAAATTAAATATTGACAAATGACAATCAGAGAATGTTTTGTGATCATAATTTTTGCTATCTATCCAAAATAAGAGTCTTCTTGAAATTCGTTGACATGGAAATGAAAAAGGTAATGTCCATCAAACATTTGCTTTTGTTGAAACAAACTAATTACCTACTATCAAGATTCAAAAGTTGATTAGATTAATTAAAAAGTTGATTAGATTATTAAAATGTTGATAAGATAGGAAATGTAAAGACGAAGAAAGGTGCATATTGATAAAGTCCATCTAGACACTAGACAGACATATATGATGGTTATTTTCTTTTCTAATAACTTATGCTATCCCCTTTGAGTTGATTCTTTCACAAAAATAGTAAAAAGTAATAATCCATAATTATTGATCAATAATAATATAAACTGTACCCTAAGTCCCTAAGTCAATTTAATTGTAGTTGTTTGATTGAATTTTAGATTATCAATATAATTATGTTATTGATTGTGATGCAAGTAGTCAAAAATCCATCAGTCTTAGAATTGAAATTGAAATACCAAATATGTACGTAGTTCTAAGATTGTCAATCGAGGTAGATTTTTGAGCTGTATTACCATCAAGTATATTATGTTAGGGGAAAAAAAATTAGTATACACGTATTAGTAATGATTTGTGATTGACTTTTTATTTACATTTTCCAATATGCTCTTTTAAGACATTTATTAAATCGAGTATTTAATATTTAATTTAAAATTTTTCGATTTGTAATGCACCGTAACTAGAGGGGATTAGAACCTTCCGACACTATGACAAGTAATGGATTATATATATATATGATTTTGCATTTACCATTCCACTCCCCACCTTGCGCATGCAACATGAAAGTCGAACTTGAATCCCACGAATGGACGACCGTGGGGTGAAAGTGTAAAATGAGAGTATATGAAAATCAAATTAATTAAAATGCATGATTAAAAGAGAGATAAAAAAATAAATAAAAAATAAAGGCAACATTATTAAGAATAAGGACAATTGGAGCATTAAGAGCATGAACACTAGAAATATATATACGTGTTGGTGGACCTTACACCACCCACATTAATATAAATGGCATAATTAAAAAAAAATAAAAACAATAATAAACTTGGAAATAGTATTGGTGTGTCCCTATATTTGTCCACTGATTCTAAATGTTGGTTATTAGGCAGCAAAGTTTACTTTAAGACCAACAAAGTATATAAATATTGTTGCACTAATTATAAAATGAAATGTGGGTTGCTGGTTGCAAACCAAACACAAGGGGCAATTGATGGAAATTAGTTTTAGCACATTTTGCACTTTTGTGTGTTGGTTGAGAGAATATTTCACGTGTTTGTGGAGTGCATAAGCTAGCTCATGTTAGGAGATGGGGTAGCAATTAGATAGCTCTTGATAGATGAGAAGAATCTTACAAACTATATACTGTATCTTGCATTCAATTCGGATGCATCTAAATTTAGGTGCGCCAAATATTGGTTTGCGGTTTATTTTGATATTTTTAAAATGAGGGTAAAATCCGTTAAAAATCATGATTTTGTGCACTTAGCTTTAAGTGCACCCAATTAAGTACGAGAGAGACGTGCTAGATGAATCTTAAAACTAGTAAGGAAAACATATGAATTTAAACGATTCCCTTGAGCATTAACTATGTGGAAAGACGTTATTTACAAAAATATATATATATATAATCTTTTGCAAGTTGAAACCTAGATGGAATCTAAAATTGTAATGGAAGATCTTTGGATAAAACACTAATATATAATTTTGTAAGTAAAGCTCATGTACCGCATTGATATAGTTTTAAAAAAAACATGAAAATTTATTATGTTGCTACACATCAAGACCGGGAAATGATTTTGGCACACCATAAATGATTTAAAGATTTTTAACACACTTTTTATGTGAGAGCACAATTTTCTATATTCTCTTACATATGGGAGTACCAAAATCAATTAATGGTGTGCTAAAATTAATTTCCATCAAGGCTAATGTAAAAAGGTTATACAAGTAATTAAAGTAAATGACCGTAGTTAAAGTTTTCTCGCTTCAAATAATTACTTTAAATGAGATAAACATAAAGGAATAGAACTGAGTCTCTAAAGATACTTTATCGATAGTGTCAATTATTAGCGATACCGAGGACAATTAAGATAAATATAAAAGAACTAGTGCTGTCAAATTTCAAACCAAAACCGTTTAACTGCCCGAAACCGACCGACCCAAATGAGAACCGAACCGATTAAAAATCGATTTTTTTGAAACCGAAAACCGACCCGAACCGTATTTTAGTAAACCCGAAACCGAATCGACCCAAATAATGTTAAACCGTATAAGAACCGAACCTGTTAACAAACCGAACGAAAAAGAACCGAACTGAAAGAAAACCGAACCGAAAAAGAACCGAACCGTATCTAACCCGAAACCGGTTCCAACCCGAAACCGTTTAAACTGGCAAAAAAAACCGCTTACACCGAACCGTTAGCAAACTGCTACCCGTTTGCACCGAACCATTTAAAAACCGAACTGATTATAAACCGAACTGGTTATAAACCAAACCGTTTATGAACCAAACCGCTTCTAAATCAAACCGTTTACAAACTTTTTTATATAATTAAATGGATTTTTTTTTTTGACGAGGATATAATTAAAGGATTAAATATTAGAAATCTTAGAATATTTTTTTTAAAATAGCAAGGCAAATCATTCATTAAGGTCTTAAGGATAATCAGTGTTCACAAACAAGAGCAAAACAAGTAGGCTCAGGCCCTGCCTCAAACTATTAGCAACACTACTGCCTCTAGTCATGTATACATTTGAGGTGATGAAACCAAATGAAAAAAAAGCTTGTAATATTAAGTATCAAGGCTTGGCTGAAGGCGTAGTAAATAAAATTAATTCACAGAGACTATTAAGCATATGATTACATTAATTCTGTGAGTAATAATGAAATAAAGATGGGAGTGTGCTAGTGAC